AGCAATTTACTGACCGTAAGGTTCAATAGGGCGCGCGTGCTGGAGGATCTGGGCTTGGTGATCCAGGCGGAGAACAGCTACAAGCAACTAATCATTGAGTATCCCAACTATTACGACAGCTACCTGCGACTGGGCGTGATGGCCAACAAGTGCAATAAAGCAGTCATGGCAGTGCACTACTTCAGTGCGGTGCTTCGTCTGGAAGCCGATCACATAGTAGCGAGGTAAGAGCTAAGCCGTCTTTACTTTCGTTGTGATAAACCAGTCAACTCTTTGCAGGACGTTTCTGGGCAACTTGTATGCTAGGCATGGCGCTCTATCGCAGGCCATGTGCAGCTACAGTCTGATCATGCGTCGACAAGCCAATGCTGCTGTTTCCAGCACGCTCGTCGCCGTGGGCAACGTGTGCTTGCTCAAGGGGACACGGGCCACTGCCAATGATGAAACGGATATGGCTTTACAGTACAAGCAGAATGCTCTGCAGCTGTTCTGCAAGGTGAGTGGAACGAGGTCGCCATTAGGCCCAAAGTATTTCTCTATTTAATCGTGTATTGCGATTCAGGCCCTCGAGCAGAATAAACGCAATCTGTGGGCGGCTAATGGCTTGGGCGTGGCCATGTGTCATTTAAGCCACTTGACAGCTGCAGAGACAATCTACAAGCAGGTTGTTGAGTCTAGCTCACTCTGCTCGAACGCAATCTTGAACTTGGCACACGTAGCCATGGACTTGAAGCACTACTCGGACTCTGTAGAGATCTATAGGAAGTGCCTAAAGGACGTCCTGCCCGCTAACAGTGTGAAGGAAATGCAAATGATAGCCTCTGCTCTCTATCAGAGCGAGCAATTCGATGAGGCCAAGCTGATTCTGTGCCAGGCACGGCGTGCAGCACCCCATGATCCGAATATAATCTTTAATTTGGGATTAGTCATAAAGCAGGCTATTCGGAGCACATTTGACACCATCCAAACTGATCTCACTGAACTGCAAAAAGCCGAGCAGAACATCAGCATCGCTCTGAGGTTGGTTTTACACTTAATTTTATAGTCTACTTTAATGATTCTAAATGATCTTCTCTTTTTAAAGATTCTTTCAATACCTAAGCCAAGGAAAACAGGAATTTAAATCAGCTAGAAAGCAATCCAAGAAGTGTACCAAGCTTCAACAAAGAATTATAGAACAACTTCAGAATCTGCGTGAACAGGAAGAACTAAGCAAGAAGCAAGAGCGCCGTAAGGCTAAGAAAAATAAGGAAAAGGAAACTGAAAAGGAAGGCCACAACGAAGAGCCACGAAGAATTCATGAAGAAACCCCAATACAAGTTGATGAGCCGAATGAGAACCCAACGGTGGACAATGAATACTCTAAGAAAAAGCGGTCGAAAAAGCGGCGTAATTCGAGCAGAGATGTTGATGAGGTGCAAAACTTAGAGCTGGAGAAATCCAAGAGTAAGAAAAAATACCGAAAGAAGGAAAATCAGCAAGAAATTAGAGAGATACCAAGCGATGTTGATGTAGAGAAGCGGGTGGGTCCGGTAAAGTTATCTGAGCGAGATCGTATTCTCGAAAAAGACCAATCCACAAAGCGGAAAGAAGAAAAAGCAAATGACGCCAATAACCTTCAGTCTGAGAATAAAACGAGCGGGGAAACCTTGCAAACGTATTCAAATAAGTCAATTGCAAAGGATGAGCTTGAACAGAAAGGAAAGGAGGAGTCACTAGATAAGAAGTCACGAAAATCAAAGCGAAAAGAGAAACATAATGATAAGCAAGACGATGGGGTGAAAAAAAAATCAGAGACAGTCCACGATCCAGCTCAAGTTGAGAAGAACCCGCTCCAATTAGAGATAGATTCACTCAATTCAATAGAGGCCTCAATGGAAGCACCTAAGCCAGATAGAGTTGTTGCTTCGAGTAGGGAAACCATGAAAAAGCATTCTAATAATGCAATGGATATGGCTGAGTTTAAAAAGGAAGAAAAGGAGGAGTCACTAGATAAAAAGTCACGAAAAGCAAAGAGAAAAGAGAAGCAAAAGCAAGTTGAAGGTGAGGAGAATAAAAAGGCGGTGACAGTCGAGGATCCAGCTGTAGTTGGGAAGAGCCAGCTCCAGTTATTTAACTCAAAAGTTGCCTCAATGGAATCACCTAAGCCAGAAAGCTTAGGTGCTTTGAGCGGGAAAACCTTGAAAAATCATTCTAATAAGGCAATGAATAATACTGAGCTTGAACAGGAAGGACAAGATGACAAGAAAATTGAAAGTGAGGAAAGTAAAAGTCTAGAGATAGTTCACCGTTTAACTCAAAATAATGAGAAACAACTTCAGGTAAACTCAATAGATGCTGTATTGGAAGCATCCCAGCCCGAAAACATAGATGCTTTGAGTGGGGAAGCCTTGAAAAAGGATGAACATCAAGATAAGAGACAAACAACAGAACAGAAGCTAATCGATAAGAAAATCGATGAGTATAGGAAACCAGAGAAGGTCCGAGGTCACGTTCAAGTTGAGAAACTGCTTCAGCCAAACACGGATATATTAAAATCAATGCCTGAATCGAAGCCACATAATTCCGATACTTCGAGTGAGGAAACCTTGAAAAGGCATTCTAGTAAGTCAATGATGAAGGACAAACATGAAAAGGAAAGAAAGGAGGAGACACACGATAGGAAACGATCAAGAAAACACAAGCACACACAAGATAAGAAAATCGACTATGAGCAAAGTAGGAAGCCAGATAAAGGCCGAGATCCCACTCTAGTTGAGAAGAAGCTGCTTCAGCCAGAGGCAGATGTATTAAAATCAACGGCTGATTTAACGAAAGCACAAAAATGCGAAAACTTAGATACCTCGAAGGGGGAAGCCTTGAAAACGCATTCAAGTAAGTCAATGATGAAGGATGTACATCACAAGGAGCGAAAGGAGCAGACACAAGATAGGGGAGAAACACGAGAACAAAAGCCAATCGATAATAAAGTCGAAAGTCAGGAGAATAAAAGCCCTGAGAAAGCCCGAGGTCTAGCTCATGTTGACAAGAAGCTTCAGCCAGAGACGGATTTATTCAAATCAATGGCTGAACCAAGACTACAAGACTTAGATGCTTCGAGCGGGGAAACCTTGAAAAAGCATTCAAGTAAGTCAATAACAAGGGGTGAACGCCGAAAGGATGAAAAGGAGGAGACACAAGATACGAGACAAGCACGGAGAGCAAAACCAATTGATAAGAAAACTGAAAGTGAGTACAAATATCCAGAGCCTGTGCGAGGTCCAGCTCAAGAAAAGCCGCCAGATATATTACAATCAATTGCTTCATTAATGGTAACACCCAAGGCAGAGGCTTCAAACAAGGGGCAGAAGCACACGTCACGGAAACGAAAACACGATGATAAAGAGTTGGGGAATGAGAAGAAACACAAGTCAGATGGAAAAGGAAAGAAATAAAGCGCATAAATGCAGGTGAATTGGAATGAGACGACAGCATTCACTTTAAGAGTCACAGTAGCTCGATTGCCCATATAGACACCACGGGCAGATTCGATTATTCAGTGTGTAGTCACTCGCTGTTAATATTTAGGGAATGGCAGTATGTATTTTCTGCAAATGTCGTAGCACTTAACATCAGCGGACTTTTGAATTCCTTCGAGATAAAAATAAAAGAAACGCGCAAACATAAAGGTCTCGTACAATTTATTTGTGGACACGATATGTGACTGAGTTGTCGCAGAGGGGCTGAGTGGGGGGCTAGCCCCGTTGAGACTGGGTTATGTGTATGCGTGTGTGTGGACTTACGTGTGTGTTCATTTGAATGTCAAGTCATGTTAAATAACCGCAGGACATTGGTCGCCGGCTTAAATTACGCATACTGGAGCCACTTTGTAACTGTCAGAGTCAAACGAACCGAAGTCAAATTCAAACGCGAAAAAATATGTTCGCTCATTAATATCAATTTATGAGCTGAGACACGAAATTAGTCAAGTGACAAGTTGCGCTGCAGGATGTGGACTTCACACAGACCCACACACACACACTCACACAAATACACACAGGCATTTTCTGTCGTTGACATCTGAAGGCATACATATATGAGTTTCTGTTTAGTTTTGGGTGCTTTTTGTGGTTTGCGTCTGGGGCTTTATTGTGTTGCGTTAATTAATTCCAAAAATGTATTGCGTGTTCTGCCAAAAGGACAAATATGCACACACGGAATCATGTCATGTGGGTCCTGTTGCGTGTGTAGACGGCGGCTATGTGTGTGTCTGTCTGTGTCATTAGCAGCGACTCTTTAAATTATGAAAAATCATATTATGTGTATACATGCATATATAAAGCAAATCAGCGTCAAATGCCAGCCGACAGTCAAGCTCTGACAGCTTCTTAGCACAAATGCCTAAGGAATGTGCTCATAAGCTAAAAATAAATGAAGGCTCTCCATATCGAGCGGCACATCAATCAGATATACAAGCCGTATCGTCATCATCCAATTAAAGTCTGCGCATTCGTTTTCAGATTTAGTTCTTTATTTATTCTTGCACATATTTCAGATTTGTTTTAATTCTCTTCATATTTAGATTTATCTTATAAAATGATAATCCAAATCAATACATGAAAGATTTCGCTTACAATTTAAATAATTGACAGACAAAAGTGTAAAACTAGGTTTAGCGACAATTCGAAATGAAAGTAAACTTGAAAATATATATATACTTGTGTGGGAAGTTATACAGTTCACTATACAATATATATATTAATTAGAATTAAGTTATTTTAATTTACAATTCGAGTCACATTATTATTTGATTTCGTCCATTCAAAAAGCACTTGCAATTAATTTATTAAGATGGTTCCAAACAAATTTCTACACTTGACAAAAACTTGAAGTTTCAGAGTGTTATTTATTTAATTTCTTTATTTTTTTTTATTCTTAAAGAGTTGAATTTGAATAATTTTTGTTTTGGGCGGGTGGCAAATTTTTTACATACACATTGAACATTGGCGCGAGCATATGGATTTTTTTTTTCAATATTTCTGTTTTTTTTTAATATATACTATATATACTTACATATTTGATAAAGTTTCGACAACAGATGCTCCATAAAGTTCTTTCACATTTAACAAAATATTATCAGTGTTATACGAGTAACATATATCGTATGCAATATATATACATATATCTTGATTTGCGCTTAGCTTGTTTCCATTAATGTTTATCTATGTGTATATAATACGTTATCTATGCCATATAAGTCAGTAATATACTCAGGATTTGTTCATTTTCGAAAGGGGGATAGTCTTTTCGTAGATTCAATGTGACTAACTAATTTAGTTACAGACTACACGAGTTAAGTGACTATAATTAATGCTAACCTCTATGGATCTCATAGTCTTAGTCTAGTTAGTATATACAATACGGGACACATCTAAATTCTCAAAGGGTTCTTCGATATACATTCATATACTATATATTTGCTTCGTATATTCATATATATTTTCGCTATGATGTATTTGCATTTAGTTAAGTATTTGTTTAAACTAGTTTATTGGTGAATTCACAAGCATAGCTCATTAATTTCATTGAAGTAATTTGCGCACAAAGTATCTCAAGTATAACTAGTTCAGTATCTAACTGTTTCTTGGTACATACTCGTAAGTGTAAGCTAAAACTATCAGTATTGCCTGGTTTCACCGAAATGCATATATATCCTCGTATGTATATATGCCGAACTATATGCAAACTGCTCTTCGGGTAGTGGAGTAAACTATAAATGCTTCGTTCTCTTGTGGTTTACAGTTCAAGTCGAGTCCGCTCAATTCGCTCCTAGTCGCTCTGCCCTCTTGGAAGTCTTGTAAGTTCTGTTCGCTTCGCCTCGCCTCATGCGAAATGTCTGCCGTGAGCTATGTTCGAAGAGCTAGACGAAGGTGCTGGACAACTACATAACTATAATACAGTGTGGGAGTGCAGTTCTGGCTCGGGCCTGGGCTGGGCCGGGTAGTGCAGCTGAGGGGGAGGAGGATTGGTTTAGACGATGGTGGTGCGCTCGGCGCCCGATGTGGTGCACGTACTGCTCCCGCCTATGCACACGATCTGACATTTAATGTCATCTTTGGCTAACTCTCAGGAGCCCATCGTCTCGTAGTTACTCGCGCCACCGCCGACGACTCCCATCAAGGAGCTGCCCACGCTCAGCAGCGGCGACTGTGTGCCAGCCCCGGTGCCCAGCGTGCTGTAGGCGGTCTGGGTGCGCGGCGAGGTGAGCAGCGACTGGGCAGCTCCGATGGTTATGTTGCCGCTGGTCACCGAGCTGGTCATCGCTGCCGAGACGCCGCCCAAGTGCAGGCTGCCCGGATGCGGCAGCGTGTTGCACGTGATGCCAGCTCCAATGCTGCCGCTGTTGGTCTGCAGCGAGCCATTCGACTGGCCATTCAGCAGCGGCATGGTGCAGGTCGTGGTCGAGCCGTAGGGCGAGGTTGGCGACGTGCGTGTTTCGTACGCGGGCAAATAGGTGGTGGCGCCTCCGTTCGGCCCACTGCTGCCGCGTCCCGGTATTCTAGTATAAATATTTGGCGGCGTTCGTGTTGACAACAGGGGCGGCGGAGCCGTGTAGACCGGGCGCTGGGCAGCTGGCGCCCTCTGTGGTGTGTTGTACAAACTAAAAGCGGGATTGGTCGTCAGCGACAGTTCTCCATACTGCAAAGAGAGCGAGAGAAAAAGAGAGAAAGAGAAAGAGAAAGAGAGAGAGAGAGACATTGTTCGTTTAGTAACTGCTCGCTCATAAATAATTTAAATTGAAGTGCAACTTTCGTGCATGTTCAAAATTCAGATAACTAATTTTTGCATGTGTGGCTAAAAAGTTGGCAACCAGTGAAAACAACTTGAACTGCTAATGAGCTTGTTAGCCAACAGCACAAACCGAAAACCCAAACAGGGGCAACTTTAAATGTGCTTGGCCACAGTCAAAGCAAAAACTATTTCTGAGCTCATCAAAATTTGATGCCTTGACCCCTTGCTGAATAAAAGCAACAACTGTCCACCTCCTCTCCTTTCGTGCATGGGCATTATTAATACGAGCTATAAATGAAATCCTCCTGCGGCTCATACGACACGAAACTTGCGTTATTGATGGAGCTTGACACCTTCAATTGTTTGCCGTAAGTGTTTCAATATTTGAATTTTAAGTTTATGCTTAAAATAAACAAAGCAATGCCGCTTATTATCAGCGTGTCAACGGACTGTTAGCATTTCGGTCTAAATAAACCCACAATCGCATGTAATATTTATTTACGATCTCTGACTAATTGGTGCCAAATGTAAGCAAGCTCTTTACCCAATTTGCGTTGGCTGTCGAACAATGGCAACGCCCACGCTCTGCCAATGGCCTGCTAAATCAATACGCGTCAATAATGCGTAATAATAATTTGTGTGGTCTATGAACATGAAATCAGATATTTCTAGCTGCCCATAGAAAATGCGAGTTCTGTTGTTTACTGCTTACATCGGTTCGTGTTTCTGTTTTTCGTTTACTGAAATGAAGGTCGCATTGACGACTCTGATATCAAATTAAAATGAATCGAAGCTGTGCTGGCTGGCTGATTGTCAGGATATTGGGTTCATTTCAGCTAAATATAGACCTCAACTTGATGGGCTTTAACTGAAGGGCAGTTTAGTGGCTTCTTGCAGAACTCAGACAGTTGGAACACCCGAAACCTGAGTAACTAATCTTTGCCAGTGAATGGTTTTATGGAGAGCACAATTATATAATAATTTAGATTGCAAATATATTTTTATATTATGTGCATATTGTTTCGCCCCAAAAGTATGCAACATAAAAGTAAATTGCGAAACGTATCTGCCCCAAATTATGTTTTACTTTCTTAAACTTAATTTTTGGCAGCTCAAGGTCTAGGACATTTTATTATCCCAATTATTGAGTAACCAAGCGGAGAAAGAGAAGAATTAAACGGGTGTCACCTATTGGATTTCCATAATAAATTGTTGAAGTATTTTTAAATTTTTCAAAATAGCAAGAAATATCTTTTTTATAAGCTGAATTAATTCTGTCTTAGATTTAGTTGTCCCTAATGGTAGCAGCCTAATGCAGCAGCAAAATATTTATAAAACTTAAAGTGAATCAAAAACAATAAAATTGTTTAAAAAAAAATTTTAAATAAATTACAAAAAAAAAAAAAAAATAAAATAAAACTTGTTAAATCAAATGTAAAAATTAAAAAAAAGGTAATAATAATAATTAAAATAAAAAACTAAAATCAAAAGAAAAAATTTTGTTAGCAAGGAAACTTGTTAATTATAATATAAAATTTAAAAAATATATACAAATTAAAGCAAAAGCTAAAAGCTTGTTAAAAATAAATATAAAAATTACAAAAAAAAAGCCAAAATAAAATATTAAAATAAGAAATAATTTGTATCACATTTAGCCTAAGCTTTAACTAATGATTCCTCGCAAACGGTCAACCCTGTACATATATATTATATGCATATTTATATATTTCTATTTTTGTTTACTTTCTTTTAATAGACAAATTTGCTTGGGTAGATTGAATTTTCCAGGTAATTTTGAATGTTATGCATCAGAAATCATAAACGCCAAAGGCTTGCCATGCGCTTTGGCTAATGTTAGTTTCTATGGCGGCACTCACCTGTTTGCCGAATGTGGGCGATAGCGAGGGCGGCGGCGGCGAGGCGGTGTTGATGCGCGCGGGCGGCGTGTAGAGAATGCGCTGTGATTCCATATTGAGGCGGTCGAATGCCTTCTCCTCTAGATGGAATTCGTCCTCGCTGTTGGCCTCCTGCGGCACAACGTCCGGGTTTTTGTCCTCCAAGCTTGAATGGCTGCCCATGTTGCGGGACAGGGGCTCAGCGCTGCCCTTGTCCGCCTCTGTTGTGGTCGCATCGCCGCTCGCATGCCGCCGGCTCTGCTTGCTGCGGAATTTAATAAAGATCACAACACAAATGGCCACCAGAAAGAGTGTCGCAATGACGCCAACTAGCGCCCCCAGCAGCGGTGTCAGTTGCACCAGCACCGCAGTCGAGGAAGCTGCAACAAGAGCGAGAGAGAGAGACAGAAGAAGGGAGAGAGACGTTGCATGAGTAAAACGATGCAAATGAGTGCTATGGAAAATGCCAAAAGCCCGAGCAGGTGGCTCAACTGTTGACTTATTCATGGCGCCACGTCTTACCTGTGCGCAGGAGGGGCGCCGAGAGTGTGCGTCCACGCACGCGATATGCCACCTTGCTGGAGCCCTGTGCATTGACAGCAGTTACCCGAATGTTAAACGCCGAGTCGCTGGGCAGGCGCTTCACTGTGAAGTCCGCATACTTATAGGAAGCATTGTACAGTATCTGGCGCGTGAGCTCGTCGTACACCTGGGCATGGAAATGTTGCGGAATGCCGCCATCATAGCCGGGCACGCACTGGATCTGCAGCGAGTTGGCCGTCGCATTATACGCCGTGCAGTTCTTAACCGGCTCCGGCAGATCTGGCGGGGAAATGGAAAATGGAAAATTATTAATGGTAAATTAACAAGTTAATTGAGAGTGCTTAATATATTCCACTAATGACATATGAGTACATCTACATATAGAAGTATTCTATTTCAGTTAATTGTACGGAAGGAACTCCCGTTCTATGGAAAGCGGAACCCGCCTCACAGCATGTACGCCGGATATCAATTTTCTAATAAAACGTTAAAATTAGAAATCCATTTTATAGACAGTTTTAGCCATCGGATTTGATTAGCTGTCATGGGGCGAAAATAGAATGAAACCAATAAATTTGTAGCCTGCTCCAGCTTTTACCTAGTGATGGGGAAATTGAATAAGCTTTAAGCTTAAATTATTCCGAATTCCCGTACATATTTGTGCACTAAATTTCGCTGCTGTGCGACGATCCGTGTTGGCCTTTTTGCAGGCCATGGTCATTGTGTATTTTAATTTAACGGGAACGGCAACGGCAACAACAACGGCAACAGCCAATGGCGATAGGTAAATAAATGATGCGCCTCGCAATTTATTGCATTTGATTATCAGATTATTGGCGACACAGATTGAAGCTGGCTGCATCAACACCAGCAGCAACAGCAGCAGCAACATGACTGTTGGTAAACGTGGCTTTTATTGCAGCCAGGGATAGCCGGACAGCCGGACAGCTGGACACACGGACAGCTGAACGAGCTGCTGTGCCAAACGACAAACAATTGCGACGCGTAAAATTGCCACAGCGTGGCAATATTTTCCAGCAGCAAAATGTAAATAGAGATTCACGCACCAAATGGCTGCCACTTGGCCGCGATACGTGCAACAATTAACTACTGGCCACAAGCCCAACCCCAAAAGCCCAACACCAACACCAGCACCAACCCCGAGCCGAGACCCAAACCAGACTCCTGTCAACCGCAGCAGCTGCAATTGGGTAAACATCTTGCACGTCCGCGTGTGTTGCAATGCACGTTGCGAAATTAATTAAGAGATATTTGTTGGTTTTTCAATTTGAAGTTAACTGACTGACTGACTGACCGATTGACCGATTGACTGATTGACCGATAAGTCATCAGAGGCACTCACCTGCTGGCTGGATGTGATACCAACAGGGCTGGCTGTGGCCCATGGGGCTGCTGGCCACGCACGAAATCGCGCCGAAGCTCTCGTAGCTCTCCACATGATAGCTGTACACATTGTTCAGCGGAGGCGCCGTTGTAGTGGTGGGCGTGGCCAGGAGCTGTCGGTGATGCTGCTGCTTGTGCAGCGCTGCCAGGCGCTTGCGCTCGGCCAGCTGTCCGGCGCTAGCCGCACTGATGTGATGGGCACCCGCCTCGCCCGGCTGCAGCTGTGCGGCGGGCTGCTTGCGCTGGGGCTGCTTGCCGTCCACGTGGTTCTTGTGCACCATGTTCGAGTATACCATTTGGGTGTAGGGCGGCTCCGCGTAGTCCGCATAGCTGTCGAGCTGCTGCTCATGGTCCTCCAAGTCCTGGTCGTAGTCATCCTCGAAGCGCACGGCGGCTGTCATGTCCACAATGCTGGCCACGCGCCCATGGCGACCGTGCAGCAGTCGCTGGCCACCATGTGCGTGCTTCCGTTTGCTGCGCTGATAATATCCGCCGGAAGCGCCCGATGGCAGCAGCAGGGGCAGCGTGGCGGGCGCCAGCTGCGCCAGCACCGGCAGCTCAATGAGACTCTCCAGCGAGTTGTTGAAGTGCCACTTGTAATTTAGATTATCGAGTGGATTGGCGTCCACCTCGCAGGTAATGTTGATTGTCTGCTTGAGTGCGGCGCGTATAATCGTCGAGTCGGACTTGCACACGGGCGGATCTGCAAAGTAGGAGCAAGGGCACGAAAAGCAGTGCAGGCTTGAGTCGAGTGCTCGGTCAAGTACTGTCGGCTCGTGTCGGTCACTTACATTTGACGTCCAGGTAAACCTCGTTGCTGGACACGCTGCCCTGCAGATTGGTGGCGCGGCAGAAGTACTGGCCATGCGACGACTTCGAGATACCCTGCAGGACGAGCGTCTGATTGGAGATGATGATGCCGCGTGAAGAGTGCAGCTGCTTATCCTGTGGGGCGGGAGGGGCAGGCAGGGAGATAGACATTCAGAGCATATTAATTTATTGGACTGCTAAAGGGACTTACATTATGATACCACTCGACGCGCGTTATGGCGGGATTGGCACGCACATCGCATTCCAGGTACACATCGGAGCCTTTCAGCAAGTTGTTGGCATCGAGCGGCGCGCCCAAGTTCAGGTTCACAATGGGTGCATCTATAATGAATGGAAGAATGATGTAGTAAAATCTATATAATTTTTTAATTAAATATGTAGAGATATAAAAATTATAAATTATCAATTAAGTTTTCAGGATACCCTATAATAATATAATAATCATACGTACACTAAAAATGAATTGCAAGAAAAGTAATATAAGCACTTGTATAAATAATCCTATAAAATATATATTTTATATATTCAAGATAAACTAAATTAGATACTATATATATAAGTTCTTTAAATAAAATATATATTATTTTTATTTACAAATGACTAAATTTATTTCCCATTAAAGGTAGCAGGAAATTTATTTTAAAAATTTAAATACATTTTTTAAATAAAATTTATATTATATATATTAAAAATGCTTCCACGAAAAGTAGATGAAATTTATTACTAAATATTAAAGTAAACTGTATATGTATTATATATAAAATAGACCTAATTAACTTCCCATTAACTTGAAAAAATCAATAAAGATTAAAATATGTATTATGTGTATTTAAAATGGACTAATTTAAGTAACAGCTAAATCTTGAAAAAATCGCTTAATAATTTAATTACTTATTATTTAATTTAAATTAAAGTTTTTTTTTTTAAATATTAAAAATTTATAGAGGACGAAAAAACTTGTTTATTAAAATGTATGAACTTGTAACTGAAACGAAAGGTTTCAACTTACGCGTCACGTTGAGCACTCGCGAGTCCTTGAGGTAGAGGCCCATGTTGCCATTGCCCAGAGTCGTCATCACCGTGGTATCGCCTTCGTGCAGCTGCTGGGAGGTAATGCCCGAGTTGAGAGCAATGGAGCAGACAACTTGACGCTCATTGTCCTCCGGCACGGGTATGAGCATTAGCTCCGAAATGGTCGTATTGCCATCGGAGGAGGTCTGCAAGGCAAAGGGGTTCGATTAATGGCAGATAATCGGGACCTGCTGCCTGACTTACCGACTGAGAGGAGCCCTTCAGTATCTGGCCCGCCTTTGACCAGATGATATGTGGCGGCGGACGAGCCCCGATGGCTGTGCAGGTCACATGGGTGCGTGTGCCAGCGACAACGGCATGATTGAGGCCCTGCAGCAGTAGACTCAGTGGGGGCACTGTGAACAGAAGAGAGCACCACACGATGGGGTTATTGGGGCTGCACAACACGGTACTTGGGGCTAAAGAGCTATTTTAATTACGCCTAATTCGCTGTTGACTATGCACTCCAAACCACTTTACAACTGCCATATAACTAACTGTATACAACTGTATTATTATCATTGTGCCGCGCACCCACGGGATCCGCAGTGCGATTAGCATATTCGCCCGCCCACACCCACCACTCACACACACACACACACCCACACATTGAGTTGTTAGTTTCAATGCCATAAATGCATAAACATTGGATTACAGCATTCGGACCACAATGACAAAAACTTTAATTACATTAATTTTCATGCAAAAGGCTGTCAGGCCCGCGCCCTCCGCCTGGCCTTGACCTGTCGACATTTGGCAAACGCCCACATCGAACCATAAACATAATTACACAAACACCAATAGAGATGGAAAATAATAGATGCAGCCTGAATTGGGGTGTGGGTGGGCAAATGTTTTGTTTTTAGCATAGGCAATTTGAATAAAATTTGTAATACGAAACGGGACACGCATACTAAAGATGATGGCCCCAACTTACGGTTCATGTCCAGGATAACTTTTTTGGTCAGCGCCGGAACGACATGGCCATTGGTGGCCTGGCAGGTGTACATCTGGAGGAGAAAGTAAACAAAATAGCATATATATAATAAATAAATTGATTTATGCGCTGCACAATAATTGGACTTCTATGAATACAATGTGCGATAAAATATTGGCGATAATGGGAGATTATAAATCAACCAGACCTGAAGAGGTGAACATTTAATTTTAATTGCCTGAAATGTTCGGCGAACACGCCTAGCTCCTTGTCGCCCCGCCTGTATCCTCCCCTCTCACACTCTCTCTCTCTCGCTCTCTCTCTAGCTGCTTTCCTCTTCTTCCGTATCTCGCGGTCCCCAACCACGAAAATGTTAATCAATTATGTTACGTTCCGTCGCAGTCAAAGTGGTTCAAAGGCTCGCTCTGTTAGCCGGCATATCATAAATTCTGTAGCCAAGTTGGCTCTTGCCGTTGTTGGCCGTTGGTAATGCGATACTTTCTGGCTAGGCATACAACAGCGTACACACATTTCCCATTTCCAATTCGGGCATTTTATTGAGGCACGAAAATTGTAACGATGTCTAATAAAAATATTTGCATAACTTGGGGAAAATTAAAACGCGCTGCTCAGTCTGTCAAACTGTCGTTTTTGGCTAGGAAATTAGGTCATAAATATTGTTCGGGTTATACAATATTTCTGTCGCATCGACCACTCGCCAGGTGGGCTACCCCCTAGGCCACGCCCCGTCCAATGGCTGACCGATGTGTTTATTGCCAATGTACAATGCATTTCTGTTTGTTTATTTATTTATATTTATTGTTTTTGCTTTTCTGCTGATGTTTGTTCAGCGTTTAACGGAATTGTTTTTTATATTGCTGCATAGCTAAAGACCATGTCGCATTTAAATACCAATTGAGTTGAGCTATTGTTGAGCGGTTAATGATGTTGGAAGCTCGTGGTTCCCAGGCCTAAGCCAATGCTAATTTGCTGAATACTGCGTGGAATTTTTATTTAAATATTCAATTTATAAACAATACTAGCTGCTCGAAAGAGCTTTGCTCGGTTATTTATTTAAATATTTAATATAGAATTTATTTAATATAGAAAACTTTAACGCACACATAATACGCATAATCCTCTTTGCGTTGGTTAAATTATGAAAACTGATTACATATAATTATATTTATGAATTGGTTGTTATTATATTTTTATTTTAGTATTATTTTCATTTATATTTATTTTTGTTATTGCCTTAGTATTTGATTTATTCCATTTCCCGATTTCTAATGTATCACACTTCTACAAAATTTCAGCTAGAAAATCTATGTGGTTCTCTCTAAGCGATATATGAAGTTCTTTTTTTTTTATAATACTTTAATAGAGTTGTAATATTATTAGAAAAATAAAAATATGTTAAAGGATAATTGAAAAGAATGCTGTCGCTAAACAACAGAATCAAAGTGGATAAAATAAAATGAATAAAAGGACTTGAAGCAAAAATCTGAATAAAATGTATAAAAACTTTAAATAACTTAAATTATTTAATATTATATAGCGTAGAAAAAAATTAAAAAATTATAAACAGTTCTAATACAATATAAATAATAATAATAATAAATACAAATATATTATTTATTATAATATTGTTTGTTATTTATTTTATTTTTATCCGACAGTTTATTAATATTCTCGAAATTTTCATATTGCATCATAGATAGTGTAGAATTCTATTTTTTTTTTCATTCTTCAACTTTTACTATGCACTAGAAGTATTCAAATCTCTCCTCTTTATATAATAGTTTATCAATAATATAAATAATGAAATGAACTCTTTACTGTAATTTACAGAGTATATTTCGATAAGATTTATGCCTAGTCTTCTTCGAGTGTGGTATACCTGTCATGTGTTTGCAAGTCAGCTGAGGATTATCATTCAAGAAAGTTCTAATAATTTTCGGGATTTATACCGCACAAGTTTCAGGCATTAATTTGGTTCTGTTCACAATGACTGCGCGAGCACAATGACTGCCATTCACAATGGCCTACAATTTGTACAAGTGGGCCGCTCTATAGGTGAGTGGAGCGTGCAGCTCTGAATCGCTGGATTAGCGGTCTAACAATATTGTTCATTACACCAAGCCAAGTAAAATCGGCTTAGAATCAACTGCCAACTGGCAGCCCGCCGCTGTCTGCTGTGCACTGTCCACTGTCGACTGTCCGTCCGGCATTGCCCGGCTCTGAACAATTCCCAATGCAGTCGCGGCTGCATTCATTTCCCAGGCGCTTTGATTTCTATTAGCCATTGTGCGGACGCGAATGGGGATTGGGATGCGGCTGTGGCTGTGGCTGTGCCTGAGTGTCGCTGTGGATCTGTGGGTCTATGGGTCTGGGGGACGACACGGCCACACCGCGCGCTGTCATTAATGGGGCGCTGCTTTTGTGGCTAACCGAAATAAATGGGCGGCGGCATTGGCCATTGTGCATTGGGGCTTAGAAGCGCGTCTTTGTTGACTGCTCATAAATAAGGCTTAAGAATTTGGGGATGTCAGCTGGGCGGCGGCGCACTTACCGTTAGCAGATCCTTGCGCTGTATATTCTTGAGGTGCAGCGTATTGCGCACCGAGCCGTCGGGCAGCACCTGAAAGGAGTCGTCGATAAGGGCGTGCTCGCGCCACCAGGAGACGCGCGGCGGTGGCACGCCGCCACTGGACAGGCAGGTCAAGTTGATGCTGTCGCCTTCCAGATAGGGGCCAGCCGTCTGGTCGCGCACCGCGGCTCCATGATGGTCCAATATGGTCAGCTGGGTGGGCGGCACTGCGAATGGAAGTGGCAAGTGGGAAAATAATAGATTAGAAAGTCAAGTGGAGAGAATAAGGAAGATAGGAATTAAGTCTTTCGGACTTGGCATTTCTACTCACCAAGGACTGTCACATTAATGCGCCAATTGCGGGTTGGTGATTTATGGAAATCAACGCGACATTTGTAGAGCCCAGCATCTGTGGTCTGGATGTTCTTGATGCGCAAAGCCGGCGGATTTGTGTCATAGTAGAAGTGGGCCTTTTTGTTAAAGACGTTCTCGTCCGCCCAGGGCACGGCCTGGTGGAGCGGACGCCCCCTTGCATCAAAGCTGTCGGTTCGACCAGAAGAAAGTTAAAAATTTCAATTATATTAACATACATTTGCATATTTCAAATGTCACCAAAGGGCTTTGGCAATGTAATTGAATTCTGTAAGTGGACTCTTGAGTTAGGCGAAAATTACTAAAGATACATAGATATACAAGTTGTTGACCCCATTGTACATATATATACTACATATATGACACTCGGAAAGTCTGTGCATCGGCACACCCCAGAGATTAGTGCACATGCCAGCCATTCACCTGGGCATCGTTTTAATGGTCATCAATCGATTTTATTTGGCAGCAATTAAGCGAGCCGAGCGAAGGAAAAATGTGTGTGGAGAGAAATGTGTGTCAAATCAGAAATGAAATGGGCATAAAAATTGCTGAAAATGCAACAAAATCCACTCGTAATCGCCGTAAAAATAGAATGTCTCATTAACTCTCTCCACCCAATCCAATCAGAACGCCCAGCCGAACAATGGGAAAGGAAATTAAAAAAATATACAGGGAGGAGAAAAGAAAACATTTTTTATTGTTATTGTCAAAGGTTTTTGGTTTATGGCTGTTGCTATGCATTTTGACAAGATTCCGCATGATGTGTCAACGCCTCGATAGCCACGAAGAAGCTATAGAAGCTACAGAAGCAACAACATATCGTAAATAATCCAAAGTGCAGTCGGAACTTTCGTTTTTCATTTTATTTGTATTTTTCATTAGGTTCTCTTGGTTACATTTAAATAGTTTTTCAACTTTCCATCGGTTTTTCCTTTATTTTTGCCTGTTCCCCAGGCACATTAGTTTGCCTCTGCTCATTCTCTGTCTGTCTGTCTGTGTGTGTGGCACTTAATTCGATGACACTTGTAAATTTTTAATTTGCTTTGTGTTTTTTGCGGCCCCAAGACCCGCCCATGGCCGCTGCTGTCGTTGTTTCCGCTCTTGGCTTTTCCCCCAAAGAAACAAATGCAGGCAGCCAAAATAAATTTCGCTGTTTATGTTAATTCGTTGGCCAGCGCGCGCTGTGTTTTTAGTATTTTGTTTTTTATAGTTTGCTTCAATTAATTAATTGATCAATTCATTCCTTGTTCGTTTGTTTCCTCATTTTTTTCGTGCATTTGTTAAGCTGCTTCCATTTAAATTTTTGTATTTATTTTTTTCCGAGGCATTTAATTTGCGTTGCCTTTGGCAGCATTTAAGCAGCTTTTAAAAGGCATTAAAATATATTTCTCTCATGGCCCTTATCGTAAAAAACCAGCAGCATCCATTAACCATTTTTTTGTGCGGAAAAAGTAAAAGGAAATATGTTCCAAGCTCTAATTAAGTGCGTTTGTGGAAAATTGCGGGATTACAGGGCTTTCACAAATAACATAAAATTTATAGTTACAACAAAATGTCTGTACAAAAAATGGGTATTATTTATGTATGCAGCTAGAAGTAGCTAAAGGTCAATCGATGCCCAGTTACACTTAGCTCTGGGCGCATTATTTACGATCGTCCGATATGAAAGCATTGCCCTAGATTATCGCACAGCTTGAATATATCAAGAGCTTATGCATATCAGGCTACGCAACTCGTTCTCAGCCCTCATGTCGCTGCTGCCGGTGATTTATCACAAATGCACCCAGACTCCCGGAGAAGAACAAGAAGAATAAGATGAAATACATATATACATATGTATATATTTCAAAAGACGACTGCAACAGCAGTGCGAGTAAGTGCCGCATGATGGATGGTTATTTGTTAATGGATTTAAAGATAATTAAATTAGGTTCAACAGCCAAAATTGTGAGCTGCGCCCCAGCCACCCACAACAATCAGGCGCCAGCACTATGCGGCCCCCATGTCTAATTTCCTAAGTACTGCAATACATATATGCACCCTGGCCAGCCGAGGGGCCAAAGGTCATCGATTGGGGCGAGACCAAGTGTCTGCTTGTACCTGGTGCCCCGTGCAATTGGGCAACAAACTTCTCATGTAATTAATCTTCCGACCTTCTTCTTGCCATATGGAAATTTCAGTCGTGCTGTAAAAGCGTTCTCCAGCAACAACAGCAACAACAACAAATATCCAACGAAAATTTATGAAGTGTAGAAAAAGCAAATTAAAATTGATGGAAAACAATAAAATGAATGCGGGCAGGCGAGAGACACAGAGAGGCGAGAGAGAGAGAGGGGGGATAACGCTTTGTTTGGTAGCAAAGATCTGTTGCAGAGGTGCGAGAGAACTGTGGATGGGAGGGCCCGTAAAGTTTATGGTGGCCATAAAAGCGGCACTCGCAACTGTAATTGCAGTCACCACAGCGAGTTTATACTGTAGAATCAATCGAACCACATGAATGCACATTTAACTTTGACACTTTGACTTGCCCATAATCGATTCCGGGCGGAGTCTGTGCCGAAGTAGAATCGGTGATGGGCTCTGCCAGCGTATGCAAAAATCAATTTCTGGTCTAGTGCGCGTCAGTCTCTGCTCTGCTCAAGCGGCGAGGCCTTTACAGTTCAACCTAAAGTTTTTATTCTAATTTTTTTTTTCAGCGACTTTCTGGTTGACTAACATCAGACGACATGTAGATATATGTATGTGTATATATATACTGTGTACTGTCAAGGGCCACCCAGTTGGCAGCATTTGACATACATGCCTCTGATTGCCTCGCTTGTTAAGAATCGCTTGACTGCCACATACTATGAACCTGCTGCTGCTGCTGCTGCCACCGATAGCAGCTTTTGGGTCAGGAGATGCACGTATGTATGTACGTACATGGTGGTTCGCTCTCTTTCTGGGGAAAGGTATGTAAGTAATGTTTATATCGGCAAATTCAACATAAATGCCTGACGTTAATAGAATTTATAATGAGCGCACCTAGACGCGTGTCTCGTCTTTCGTAATTGGCTCAGCGCTGTGGGTGGAGCTTGGCGGCGGCGCTTGTCATTGGAAATATCAAAAAATATTCGGCACATTTTTCAGTTAACTTTATTAGAGGCGAGTGGGGCGGGGTAGGAGGAGAGTACAGGTGCCGCTTTAATGGAATCTTATGCGAGAGATTAGAGTGCCTTATAATAAAAAGAGATTTTTAAGCGGCTTTCGACAGACTTAAGGTACGAGAGATGCCAACATTAAGAAAAGTTAATAGAGTTTTCAAATTAGCGAATGATAATATAATGTTATGTTATGGCTTATTCCTATGCCAGGTACTTACGTGTAGATAGGGCTTCACATTGCCCTGGCGATACCAAATGACCAGCTGCACCTTGTCGGCGATCATTGTGCCCGGCATTAGGTCACAGGGCAGCGCCACCTCGGAGCCCACGGCCGTCAGTACCTCCGACAGAGGACCTGAAACGAGCGAGAGGAAAAAAGGATAAGGATATCAATTAGAAATATTTTCATTACAGCAAATGCAAGGCAAGCGACTGCCACTCATTGAAATATGTGAACTTTGACATTGTGCGTGAGGCGAATGCGTGACTGTCTCTCTCTCTCTCTCTCCCTCGCTCACACACGCATATTGTATGGCATAACTATAAATTGACTGACAGCTTGATTTTCATTGATGATAAGCTGGCGCTGAAAGGGTAAGCAGAGTCGAGCCGAGCTGAGCTGGTATGGAGTCATCATCATCATCAGCCATGCATCTACGACGTGGCCATGTCACCGAGCCAGCGGAGCCAGCGTGTGGCGCCTCGCAGCTAGCGGCTCGCGACGTGGTGTCGACATCGATGGCGACGCGCTGTGCGTGCCGCCCGCTGTGGAGCAGCAGCAGCAACAGCCGCTCGGCTGGCGGGCAATTAGTTGTTGCCCCTTCCCCATACCCCTCCCCCTCCCCCTCCACAGCTTGAGCTGGGTGTAGCTGAGGCCGCATTTGACAATTGTAGCGATATTGCTATTGTTGCCTTTCTTGTTGATTGGTATTTGGTATTATCAAAGCATTTGTAATTATACAAATTATATTTTCCATATTTTCAACGGGAATGGGCGTGTCGTACGTGCCTATATGTATGTCTCCATGTCTCTATGCCCTACTCCATTCTCCACCCCCCATTGGCTTATCAAAGTTTTTTATTCCAGTGAACTCGACTGTGTAAATAGTTTTTCATTTTGCTATTTGCTTTGCTGTTAAGCTCTTAAAATTATTAATCAATACTTATCAATTGGATTCGATTGGATTATCGAAATCGACTTTTCCCGCCTCTCGCCGTTAATGCAATTTCATTAATTTAATGCATTTTTATTTCTCCTAATTGACACCATATTCAATATATGTATATCTCTATATATATATATATATTACTGCTAGCTCTGCAGCTCCGCCTTCCCCACGCAGAAAGTAAACTAAGCAACTTTTGTATCCATGGCTGATTAATTGTCGTCATAAGCGACGAGCGCCAAGCGCCACACGCTTTGCATATATAATCGAATGGATATGCCAAAGGGAGTAGGGTGGGCGGGGCGGCGAATTATTATTAGCTAATGAATATTCGTGCACAGAATGGAATGTTGTGGCATGCATTGTTGCGGCTACTCAAATACGCTGAATTTCGGTTGGGGCATTGTGAATGAACAGAGAGCTTCAAGTAAAAATTAAGCAACAAAAATGAAGTAAATGAAAATTATATACAACTGAGAGACCTGTTCGTCCAAGAATACAACCGTTTTGAGTTGGCCTAAACTGGGACGAGTTTATTTCTATCGATTCGTTTCGGGTTGATGAAATGCGAGCGGAACCATTCGCCCTTCCGTTTCCACCAGCTGTTTCACATTTATTCAAAGCTCCATTTGGGGCGCCATTACCGGAACATGAGAAATGGGCATGGCCATTAGTTATGCCCATGGACGAATCGAGAGAGATGTGTCAAATCAGTGTAACAAATCGAAGCCCTATATATCTATCTATCTGTACACATATGTATAAATAGAGATATAGGAAAACCTACTTAACCAAATGCGCCAAGGGCTGGAGGCGCCAAAAATATGACCGCAATTGGTATCCGAACGAATGATTTAATTCATCGAGGGCAAATGCAATTTGTTTGGCTCCACAACTAGGCGGGAATGGGGTCAGCAGATCAAAGCGATAAATGAGTTACGGATGAAGACGGGTCAGCCATCTGTATAAGTTGCGCCGGCTCCAAGCGCCAAGCTTCAAGCTGAGTGCGCCAATAGCTAATTGCGACTGCGATGGGAGAACAAATGTTCACACACCATTCAAACACGCAATTCCCGAATTCGAATCGAATCGAAATTGATTCGAAATGGGCATTTGAATGATCTGTTGCAAGCTTTTGCAATTGTCATTTGTCGGCTAGGTCAGCTGATCCATACTGACGGAAATTGGGGGAACACCCGCCCACGCCCCCACGCCCTAAGCACCCCACACGCAAAAGATTTATTGTCACACGCTCTGAATTTGACGCATTGATTGAATGAATGAATTGGTTTCGCCTGAAAGTGCATTTCAATGTTGTGTCGCATCGTAAATGGATTCATTGTAAATCCGCTGCGATCTGGCACTAGTCCAGGCCCTGGGTTTATTATTTATCTAGTCAACAATATTCTGACAAATTTGCCGGCATCCCCCATTCACGGCATGGCCCCCCATTCCGTGTGGCGCGCCTCGCTGACGGACACTCGGCTGTTAATGGTGCATACAACAAATTTCTTGCATGATGTATTCTATAATTAAGCAACAACATGGATCGCACAGGCCCTGTCTCTGTCTGTGGGGCCGGAAAAGTCGCTCGGCCCGATGTTGTCGCCTCATAATTGTGCCACTTAATGTGGGCGTCAACATGATACGGCCAACTTCTTCTACTCAATTGCCTCGCTTCGTTCAGGGCATTTACAGAGTTGCTTTCATGTATGAAAAGAGAAGAGGGAGAGGAAGAGGAAAAACATAAACAATATTCTACACACAATCTAATATGAGGGCGGAGTTCAAACAATTTTATATTCCAGAAACTCAATTTATGAACTTTCAACATTAATATGCATGTCGATTGCAACAAATTCGTGGAACTCTCTCATAGAATCTGTCGATATGTATATGGAATATATATAAATGTATATAGAATTAGCTTTTTTCCTGCTACCCTTTACACAATGCTTACCAAAATAAGAAAACAGCCAGGTGTTTGATCTTTGCTTCTAAACAATCAATGCTAAGTGCAGGCCAATTAATCAGTCAATCACCCAATCAGTCATTCAGTCAATCGCAACGCTTGCCACCGCGTAAACGAGCATTTTATTTATTTATTTACGCCTGCAGCTCGAAATTGAAATGAAAATATTTTGACATTCGGCTGCATGTGGCGAGAAAGCTGAAAGAGAACTAAAACTCTATTGTACAGCACGGGGTAATTATTTAGATCATTTGTTGCTTTTCGCCCACGGGGGCCCCGCTGCAAATGGAATATGGGAAATGGAAAATGGGAAATGAAAAAGCAGAGACTGCCCTCGAGAGCTTTTCGTCGCATTCATAAATAAGCAACAACAACAACTTGGCGCCTCTCGTAAAACAAACAGCAGCAGCAGCAGCGATCCAAACAGATCACCAAATAAATCAAATAGAATGTTTATTTCTTAAAAAAACGGGAAAAGGAAATCTATGGAGAGATACAGGAGTCGGGAAGAAGCTGGGAGTAGTTCATGAAATATCTGCTTAGCTTAAAAAGTTGATTAAGAGCACTGAGAGATGAAAATGAAATGTGCAGAAGATTGATGAATAAGATTTAGAAGAGAATTCATGAATCCCAAGCGAGTCAGCTATGTCCCATTCCCTAATGCTGTTAACCTTTCCTAGAGCTAATTATGCCCATATGCTCAAGCGCTTACAGCGCATAAGCTGGCCATTAAATAAATATCATTTATTCATTGAGCCATGGCCAAGAGATTTTCTATTGTTTTAGAGCTGCATGTCCGTAAAATTGACTCGGGCTGGCGACAAATTGGCAATGACTCAAGTAAAAGCCGCCAACGATTCAATAGGCGCCACTTGCCAACAACAACAACAACAACAACAACAGCAAAAGCTACAACAAAGACTGATTTTTTCTGTATTGCCATATTGTCAAACAGCAGCAACAATTGCAACAACAACAGTTGCTACTCTGCACGTGACCATTGACAATTTGCGATTCAAGTTGTTGGCCATTTATGACCCGCTTTGACTCGGTTCAGCCCCCCGCCTGCTCCTCGCCAACAGCCAACTGGGCGTATTCTCTCTGTTCTTTTTTTGTATTTTATTTTGTTGCCGTTTATTTGAGTTTGGGCCAAATGGCGCACACTGTCAAGAAGTTTACTCGTTGTCGTCGATTTGAGCTTTAATATTTCCTGCAGGCACATTTGGCGACTCTTAGGGTCTGGGCCCCAACATCAAAGCGCTGGCGGATGTTCCAATTGCTCCGGCAGCCCATTCACTTGCTGGAACCGACGAGGCCCGAGAGTCATAATACGATTCCGATTGCCTACGGCCGAATGCCGCTCCAGTGACAATCTCACCTAAATTAACTCCAAAATTAGACAAGTACTTTGATTGCCAGCCATAAGAGATTTTCTGCAGTTCCCAGAAAATATCTGAAATGCCCATAAAGCGCCCTTTCTTATTTGCCGGCAAAAGGAAGTTATAAAATATGGAAAATATATACGCATTTACGTGCGAGTGTGTGCGTGCGTGTGTGTGTGTGCCATGGACATTTGATTGGATTTTCATTAGATTGGATTATTATGCATAAAAGTACCATTTGGTGCGTTTATCAAAGCGTAAGTCCGGCCAATAACAAAGCCCATGCTTGCCATGGCGAAAATTAAATAAAGATTGGCTCAAAGGTTGCTCTCCTCCGGCTTGACCCTAGTCGACTGCATTATTATAATAAATTTGGAACATTTTCAATTTTGAACAATTGCGTTTCATGTGAGTCTCATGAATATTAATTTATGTTCAGCTATATATGTATATATAATGGTCTATAAATTCATAACAAGCTGCACTCGGCCCTAATCTATGTTCGAAAATCTTGTGCAAGCGCAGCAAAACTAATTTTATGATGGATTACCTGAGGCAAGGGTGGACGAGCAATCCTAACTCTAGCACTGACGGCATCACCGGTTCCATCGTGCTGCAGCTATCGCGTTCGCTTTGCTGTCCATCAAATGCAACGCAGCATGAGGCTCGCCACGCTTATCACACACGCACGGCGTAGCTGCGGCCCCTCTCCGCCCCCTTTGCGCTAATAGAAACCTCAAAAGGCATTTTCCTTTGTTGACATTTGTAAAATGCAAACAGAACACGCAGAGGCGACTACATAGATAACCGAGCGCGGGCATCGGGCATCGGGCAATGGACTAGAGCGAAGGTCTCGATGGTTAGAGGCATCAGTCAAAGTGATTAGATCATGGCAGCAGGCATGTCTGCGGATGGGATAGATAAGTTAAGCCGCTGCCAGCTCGGGGCGGGCTCCATAGAAGTGGACGCGCCTTCACTTGTGGGAGCCTCAATTAGTTCGATTTTATTGCACCCGAATGGGCATAAGAACCCTCTGAAATGGTTATGGCAACGACTTCTTTTCCTATTTGGCCCGACCGTTGCCAGTTTGCCAGTTCTCTTTACGATATTGACACTAGAAATCGTGACTTTTTCATTATGAACGGGATTTACACGTGTTTATGGCAGCTCATAAATGGGTCGCACTTGGTCTCCAGTTCCGTTCCGTTCCATTCCATTCCGTTCAGTTCGGCTAGGTAACTAAGGGTAAGCTGGCAAGTAAGTCGCCAATTGACGTTGATTGTTGCACAAATCTCGCAGGTGCAGACCCGGCTCTAGTCCATTAGGATCTTAGCCAAGTGGAAGCGCCATTGTGCAGAGAGTGCTTTGCAAATGGAAGTTTGCTTTGAAGTGGACTCACGGACTGACACCTTCTGACAAATAGTTGCAATAAAGTGTCTAAGTGCTGCGTGTTGTTCTCGCTGGGTGGGGTGCGTCACTCGTGCGAGTGGGAGACTGGCAGGAGTCGTGTCTGCTTTTCCTCCTTTTTCTCGGCTCATCTCGGGCGGTGCTGTGGCCTAATCGTTGGGTAACATGAAATTCCATGCCGCATCGAATTAGCTCTTCTAGCCACGTCGTTGACAGGCACGGAGCGCACAATTTGAGCCCAGAAAGAAGATATTATGCAAAATAATATATAATTTTGATAGCACCCAATTTGAGCCTGTCATAACAAATGTGCTGAAACAAGTCCTGAATATGTATGCCCAAAAACCGAGCTCTATCTCAGCCCCCATCCTGACGCGGCACGCAACAAAATTTCTGAATGAAAGAGGCAAAAAAAAATGTATATATGTATATATATTGCAACAACAAGAACAATAACGGGACAATAACCGACGACTAAGAAAAAAATCGATATATGTAAAAAATGTTTGCATGACTTTAGGAAATTTAGCAAAGTTCTTTTTTGTTGCTGCTCTTTTGGATAGCCTGTGGGCTGGAGTCCTGGCCGCTGGGTTTGGGCCTGCCCGAATAAAGCTTCATTGATATGAAAAATATCTTTTAAATGCCACAAAGTAGCTGCCGGGGCCTGCCGAGGCGGCCTCTGTGAAGAGCGGCAAAAACAACACTCATAAAATTAATATGATATAATAAAGAAAAATTTGCAAGCTGCCAAAACCATAACGATTGATTCTGAATTATAGCCAGCCGAGGCGGGGACGCTGGCTAAAATGTTTTGATTCGAGTTTTTTTCTTCGTTGGGGCTGCCGGTAGGAGGAGTTGCGCCTTCAAAGGCCACGTTGCCGCAATATGTTTTGTGGGGCTCAAAGCGAAACCGATTCGAATAAATAACACGGGGCCGCATAAAATCAAATATGTTGCGCTATCGAGAAAGTGAAATGGTCTGGCTCCGATCAGCCGTGGCAGACGTTGCGGACGTGGCCGCAAGGAATTTTCCGGGGATTACTGCGCCACTTGCTCAACCCAGGCGGGAGTGGAAGCAGGAGCGGCGCATCGGCCGGGGGAGTATGTCAAATTAATCACGGCATTGTTCAGCGCTTTTCAAAATAATAAATACTTCAGCGCTACTATAAAATAAATTACTCAAAATCATTTTACTATCGCCGCGCCACAACGAGCCGAGCCGAACCGAACCGAACAGAATAGAATAGAATGCAATGCAATGGAATAGAATAGAATAGAATGGAATGGAAGTTTGCTGGAATGGCATATGTTGGTTGGCTAGATATGTTTGGACAGTTTTAAAATTTGGTTTCACTTTTCTCCCCTACCCCACACTCCAAGCACACACACACACACGCACACACACACTAGCAATCATATAGTGCTGTGGTCCCATGCCCGCGCCCGTTGTCATGCGTTTTGTGTGTCAACTTCAAATGAAATGAAATGTCTGGGGAATTTGTAGATCATTAATAACCTCGCACACAAAACAACAACAGAGAAACGCATTGGGCCACTTAGGAGCCATGAATGGGCGTTCGACTAGAGACAACAAAAGCAACAACAACAACAAAAACAACAACGGCAACAGCAACAGTCGCCAGTTGTCAGTTTGGCCCTCGCCTTGTCGCATTGTGCGAGGGAGCAGCCGAAATACGTAATAAAAATGCCAGGCGAACCCCGAGCGGCTGTGGCACAAAATTGGAATAGCAAAAATTAATCACAGCGGGAGAATTGAATGAAAAAAAACGAAAAAAAAAAAAAAAAAAAAAAGAATCGCTGCTGGTTAGAAGACACCTTTTAGTATATAAATACGCCAGCAGAATATTTCAAGCAACACGAGATCAGCTGTTGTTTACTCCCTCGGGTGGCTGCCGACTGCGAGGGCCAGATTTCATATATATACATATACAAATATATATATTTATATATATGTGTGCATGAGCGAGTCGTTAGACAAGTGGTACGATTATCGATCAGCAGCAAGTTTCTCATGGCGATGTCAATCAATTAGAGTCGATGTTATAGTTTTAAATGGTAGGCTAACTTCCCATTTCGAATATCTCAATGGGTCTCGGCGGAGCAGTCTGTAATCAATTCAATTTCAATTCTGCAAAATATAGACTCGAGCTGGACTGGTTTGTGACGAGCCTAGTGCTACAGTGGCATCTGCCGAGTGCTAGACTGGCAATAACTCATTGGGCTTCACCGCCTCAGATACGCGGATGGACTTTCAGTGCATCCGAACCAGATCGAAACTACACTGTTTTGCTAGGCAGGTGGTGCATCCTCATACCTGGTTTGATTTGGATGCACAATAGCTGAAGGATGAAATGATTAAATTCTGTGAATCACAGGGATCCATGATGAGAATAGATTTAGGATTAAGTTAGTTTGTCTTTAGCATAAATCCAATACAAGCCACTTACTAGTTCAAATTTAGAGTCTATGCCAATAGCAACAAATTGAAACTAAAGAGGAATACAAAAATTAAGTTCAGTCTGTAGCTTTCATTCCAATTTTAGCTTACCCGTCAACTTAATCATCTTTCAAAACAACAATCATTATTGGGCTTCAGTTAACTTTTGGTTTGATTAATTATAAGTTTAAGCCACATATCAGTCATATAAATCTTACTTTCAATATATTTAATTAATCTGCTGCCAATCAATGATCAATCTGTTGTGATTTATGTAGTCGATGCCGATTTCACTTCCCACTGGGAAGTTCCCAGTTCAAAAAAGTTTTTAACTTGCAAGTTAGAGCTGGGAAACCATCGATGCAACCATCGATTATATCGATGGACTTTAATTTTTATGATATATCGATGAACTTTTGTCGATATCGATATATCGCCGCTTTGAGTAACAAATCAAACACATGTAAGTAGTGAAACTTTCTTTTGTAACAAAATAATATATATTTTTTGCGTGCTTGATCTATTTTTGGAAATTTTATAAATAGTTGACAAGCATAGCATACGGACATTGTTAAACATTGGTAGTTCCTCTTCAACATGGACAAGTTTGTCGTTTCAAGTAAGTATTTTATACCCTGTGGAGGGTACATTACGTTAAAAAAAATGTGCTATTTTCCAGCTTGAACGTATTTTTCACATTTTAGATCAAACCTGCAATGCCTCCACTACAATTGCATCTTCAAATGCATTGACTGAATCCAATGAGCCTAGCATGAAACGAAAAAAAATCACATCAGAAGTTTGGTCACATTTTGAGAAGCTGATGAACATGCTTGCCAAATGCCGTCATTGCGGAAAAGAGTACCGCACGAGCGGCAACACTTCCAATATGATGGAACACTTAAGACGTGTACATCCCTTCGTGGTAAGAGACCACGTTGAAACAACTGCTCCATTCTCCTCATGACATCGATCCGCCACAATTTTGGAAGGTAATTTATAAAACGCTTTCATTTTATAGTTTTAATGGTCCGTTTTGTTTCAGATTAACGAACACCAATTAAATGCACTCAGCTGTTGTGCTATTAAATACTTAGCTATTCCAGCTAGCTCTGTGGAAAGTGAGCGCATTTTTAGCAAGGCGGGTGAATTGATTTCTGACCGCCGGGCGTCTTTGAAAGAAAAATGTCAATCAATTGATTTTTTAACAAAAATGAATGGCTGTTCCCGAAAACAACGAGACTAATATTTTAGTATTATCTTATTTTTGTAAATATTGAATATTTACTATAACTTTATTAATTTGTTATATTTTTATTTTTTAATTTGTCGATAAGAAAGAAAATGGATCTCTTTTATATTTAAGTTATCTTTAAAATCGTTATGTTGAATTTGTGTTATGTTTTGGAAATGAAAATTTAATGAATTAAACTTTTATATTTTCTCTATATTTGTCTATATTCTTTATTCTTATTCTGTAAATATGTACAAGGAAAAGTATGAAATTACAAGAGCATTATTTACATTTATTTCTATTATGAAAAGTACGACTTTTATACAAAAAAAAAAAGTTTAAAATTTGAAAGGAAAACATTTTCGATGGAACCATCGATATAATCGATTATTTTTTCCATCGATGGGAAAACCATCGATGGAGCCGTCCATCGATGGTTTCCCAGCTCTATTGCAAGTTGCAGTCAATTGCCAAGCCGTAAGCTCATTAGAGATGCAAAATCATCCACAGATATTCAACACGATGGTTTATCCCACCGATGGTTTCAATCATCGATATCATTTATGGGCTTATCGGTGGACTTACCATCGTTATAAGAATTAAATTTGTTTTCCTACCAATAATATCATACATTTAAATAAAGCAATGTCTAAATCTCTAAATCGAATTACTAATAGTTAATTTGTAAATTAGTAATTCTGCATCTGCTAGATTCTAGATTCAGAGACAGGCGGCAATATCAGGAAGACAATTAAATTTGTATTAATTAACCTATGAATATTTTAAAAAGAGATATACGATCAAAAAAATTTATCTAAAATCAAACTCAACTGAAAGTTAACTTGCATAAGTTGATTCAGCTATCTGTTAATTGAGACGATGTATTCACATTTAACAAAATCTATCGATATATTGCATAATTAATGTTCATCGACACTATCGAACATTTAACAGCTCTAAAATTAATTTAAAACTGCTCCAATAAAACATTTAAGCAATTATTCATTCAGTAGATTCACATTTTTTCAACTTCAATCACAAGTCGAACGTGAAAATATATTTTCGACCATTTTAATTAATCTACCGCTAATCAGTGCTCAGTCTATTGCATCAATTTAGTTATCATCTATCAATCCGTAAGGTCATTCAAAGCTTTACCATTCTCATTCCCTTTCAATAGTCTCTCAATCAAGCAGGATTGCCTTAATTCATATGTTGATTTCTCTCCGATTTCTCAATGTATTTTTAATAGTACATATATCTATGGCAATTTAAGCCTCTGCGAGTCATGTAGAATTGAAATAGAACTCATGTGCATATTTTCGTTGTGCTTTTCAGCTCACAAATTTTTCGTTAAATCCGACCCGTCCAGCCCCCTCGATAGAAAACTGGCACAGCAATTTTCCATTTTCAGATTCGCATTTTCCTATTATTATTTTGTTCTCGTTGCATTTCGTTTAGTTTTTATTTTCAGTCTGTGCTGGCGTTGTTTAGGGGTTATTTTCTGTGTGATGGTGGGGGGAGTGGGGAGAGGGCAGGGGCGACAGACACAACCACTTCCGCCCCAAGTTTTGGCTTTGTTTTTGTCTACTGCCACGCTTTTTTTTTTAACACTGCACTTGGGAATACGAACTAAACTGGGGTATAGAAATGGGGACTAGAACCATCACCCCCACCCCGGCCATGCCGAAATAAAAATCTTCGCCACTGGCTGAGTCCATAAAATATGGCGTGTGCATCGCTTGCTTTGTTTGCGTTTAATTTGGAGCGGGAAATGTCAAAAAGCTACACGAAATTGAGTAAACAAACCATTAAAGAAGATTATGAGACTTATAAACATAAACTAAACGAGAGCCAAAAAAAGATTGAGCTGCCAGCAAATATGCAAATTGAATAGTGAAGTGAGGAAAAAAGTAAGAAAAGCTCCGGCTTGGCCTCACTTGAATCGTTTTTAACTTAATTACCAAACGGCTCGTTCGAGACTTTTGTCAGTTTAACAGTTTTTAGTTTTCCGTTCTCAGCTCTCAGTTTTTCGCTTTTGGCTTTTAGTTCTGCTCGACAATTTTGAAATATGCATTAAGTCTTTTTTCGGCTGCGCACTCATGAATATTCAACGCAGCCAAACACTTTTGATGAACTCGTAAATTTTCCGACATTGCCTTTTAAATATGCATGAAAATTAAATTGGCCTTTGGCTGCACATAAGCTGATATTTAAATTTATATATTTTATATTTTATTGCCGAAAGACTGACGCTTTCGTGTGGCGGAACAAGTTGATTTGTATTTTTAGTTGTTTGCTAACAATTTAATTTCGTGGGGCGCAGCTTAGATTAGGCATAGGAAATACTTTATTTCGGAAACTCTTTTTATTGCTAAACATTTAGCCCACACACACACACACACACGCACACGCACAGGCACACCTTTACCCATTGCCAGCTTTGCGCCAAGATTGATGGATAGATAATGTGACTGATAAATCTCCATTACGCAGCATCCTTCTGCTGCCTGCCTTCCGTTGAGAGTTAATTTGAAGGCGCTGGGACAATGATTTGATTTTTGGCACTGTCATTGTCATCCTTAGCAAGGTGATTTGTGGGCACGCCCAGTCATTGGTAGCCTGCCAGCCAGTTTCCTCTTCATTTGTCATAGCCCACAGACACAAATGCCAAGTGATTGAGAATAGGCAAAGCAGAAGCAGAAACAAAAACAAGAACAGGAAAAAATGCTGCAGCCATAAAATTGTCGATTGATTGGCATCAATGATGGCATTTTAACCAAATCACAGACGCATTCACTACAGATACCCAAATCAAGATTGGGACGAAGGACCACCAAATGCCAACGTGTCGTCGTTAAACCAACCATAAACTTCCATCCGAAAGGTGTCTGCCGTCAATTGTGCTCGCATCAAACTAGGCGCGAATTCGTTTTATAGTTCCACAGGCCCAAAACATATCCTCAAATGAGCGAACATTCAGGACACGCGGCCAGAGTTGAGCCAAAATATTAACACAATATAAAATCGGCATCAATCACAAATGCTGATTCTATCACAGATATTTCTCAAAGCGGAATTGGGAATGGGAGCTCAAATTGATTTCCCTCCAATTACATTCCAATTCTAATTTCAGGATAATCATGCAGTTAGCTAATTAAATACACATCTAAATTTGTTCGCATCTATAAATAAATGCCGTTATTCCATTGACTGGAATTATTTGAAAATGATTTAAATATGAGCGCGCCGTAGGCAAATCGTGTTTGCTGAAATGATATAATATCGATTTCGTTATGTAAGCAAAGCAGACAATTTGCTTGTGTGTGTGTGTGTGTATTAAAGCATTTCATGTGAAAATAAATAGTACGAGGCGGTAGCAAGAACAACGGACAAGAGCAACAAACATCAAAGAATGCAGCACAAACACAGACACACACACACACACACGCCTACACCCAGTTATACAGACCATAAGTAGGGAAAATCGCTTATGCAGGAAGCACTTTTCTTCGGGGCTCCTGCTGAGATTTTCCACGCAGCAGCGACTGCTGGTGCTGCAAGGATAAGAGCCCGAGCTCTTATCCTCTAACTCTGCGGGCTCTTTCTGCTGCGCTCTGCTGTGAGTGCTGCGAGTGGTGCGAGTGCTGCTGCTGGTTTGTGTGTGGGAACGTGATTTCAGCATAATTCCTTATATCAGCGCATAAATGGAGCATGCCAGTGACACACACACACACACATACACGCATTCACATATGGAAACAAACACTCACATAGTCACAGTCACGGCCACATGCCGCCAGGAGCCAAAGGACCAAGCTGCACTTTTCCAGTTTATTGCTGCAGGCAGGCAGGCAGGCAGGCAGGAAGCCGCGCGGGAAGCAAGCCGTCTGACAGTGGTTCTCAGCTCTCAGAGCTCACATTTATCGCTGGCGGGTCAAGTACATTAAAAACGAATGCCAAATTTGTTGAAAGTCCCAGCACACATCCATCCATACATATGTATGTGAGAGGCGCATGCAAAAAGTCCTAGACTCAAACAGCTGGATAGGTGACGATGGGCGGTTAAAGAATTTAACTCATCTATATGCAAGACAACGCATTCGTTGCTTCCATTAAGTATTCACGATTCTTGAAACAAAACAATGAATGCTTTGCTAAAAGAGAGAATAAACAATGGCTGTTAACCTCAAATAAGCATTTTTATTAAGTTCTACATCTAAAACAAACTCCCAAACTGTTTCCTTATTGAATGATTATATTTAAATTATTATTTGTGCTTTAACTTTCTAGAAATTGTTATTTATTTAAAAATTAAGTATTATTATTTATTTTTAGTTTTTAGAAATTATTATTCAATTAATTCTGTATATTTAAATTGAGCAAAGGCTTTTATTATTTATATTATTTTTTTAAAGCACTTTCAATAAAAATATTAGTATTTTAAATAATTTTCAAAAATTCCATAATTAATTTTTTAGATTTTATTTTAATTATTGTAAATCAAAAATATTTGTATTTAATTTTTTTTTGTATATTTTGAATTTATTTATAAATGCAGGTGAAATAGGAGAGATTTATTAGCTTTGATATGCATCATTAAACATCCTTGTGATTTATCGACAAAACAGATTCAGTTTTTCGTTATTTAATTCTTCAATTATCTATGCCAAATCCGCATAAATTCCATTTACAACTTTACTCTCATTTACTCTAATTTACTGCATAAATTCCACTAATTCCCCAACTCTACTCTCAATTAATAAATCCAATTCTAATTTACTGCCACATTTCAAATAAACTATATGTATATGTATATAACTACTCAAGCCACCCACGACATGCCGCACACAAGACCAACTCCGAACATCATTCAGTTTTCGAAAATCGAAAATCATCGAGTGCCAATTTACAATTTGTAAATCGAAAAGGCAACCGACGCCAATGCGCAA